CACACACACACACACACACACACACACACACACACACACACACACACACACACACACACACACACACACACACACGCAGGCGTAGGGCCAGCATTTCTATGCTGGCTAGTGGATATCAAGAACATACACAACCATGGCTCTGATCAAACGATGGGGCTCATCTCTCAAACCGAGTTCGGCTCCCCACCCACAAACCGATGGCCAGACGGAGAGGGCGCATCAAACCGCACAGGTTCTTCTTCACACTCTCATTCGTCCCGACCAAAAGTATTGGGTTGAGCGGCTGCCGGACGTCGACCACCTTGTCTTCATTCGACGGATGCACGAGACCAGATGTCGAAGACGCAGCAACGTATGAGCCGTCAAGCCAATCGCCAGTGTCTTCCTTGTCCGTTCCGCACGGGCGACCTCGTTTGGGTCTCCACCGCGGAATTCAGCCTCGAACAGGATATCTCTCGCGAGCTCGTCCCGAAGTGGATGGGGCCTTGGCGAATTGTAGCACCCACTGGTGATGCACCCGAAGGACCTTCATTTGCCATTCAGCACCCGGCCACTTGCCTGTCCACCCGGTCTTTCATTGTTCAAAGTTGGATCTTTTCGTTTTGGCGGAACGTGACGACTTTCCTGGGCGACGATCGCAAGACCCATCCTCCACGGACGGTTTTCAGGAGGTTAGCGACATCATTTCGTAGCGGCGCTACGGCACCAAGCCGACGGAGTACTCAGTACACTTCTCCTATTTCAGCCAGAAGGCTGACCGTTGGTTGACCCGTGCGGAACTTCAGGCTACAGCCCCCGATATCCTCGCACGTTATGAACGCAAACAGCAAGACAAGCCAGTACCTTCGGCTCCACGCCGTACTCACGTCCAGGTTCCACCATCAGATCGTCAGCTTCGCCCTCGACCCGGCTTGACTTAGTAAGGAGGGGGGGGTGTTACATGATGAGCTTGCACGCGGGCCCCGTTTCAGGGGCCCGAGGGCTGCTGGGGGCCCCCAGGCCACATGCCATTCTGGCATGCGCCCTGGAGGCCCACGGCTGACCTTAGGGCCGCAGGATTCGATTTGAGGCAGCATTTATTTATTAATTTTATTTTTTATTTACTTTAAGTATTTATTTATTTATTTGCTGTCCTATTTTTGTCTGTTCAGGCGTCGTTTCAGACTTGCAGTTTGTCCGAACAGACTTTCGGGGCGAAAGTCTGTTCGGACAAAGGCCACGTTTTGGGCCTTCTTCGTTTGCTGTCAGGTGCTTTTGGGCCTGGTTCGTGTTCGTCCAGTAGCGGGCACTCCCTGCTGCATCAGCAGGGAGGGCCTGGACGTCCTGTAGGGACCCAGGCAGGCCGTTTCAGGCCAGGACCACCAGAGGCGCACCAGCGAGGCCCAGCGCTACATATAGTTGGGCCAGGACAGGGCAGACACGGTTTGAATAGCTCACTTCTTGGGCGACACGATGCTGGAGCACCGCGACCCAGCGCTGCGCTAAGGTGTAGAGGCGTAGGTAGGAGGTGAGGCGGAGGCCATACCTGCAGCGCCGGTACTTACCTGGGCGCCATAGCTGGACTCCACGCCAGCAACCTGCACAGAGAGACACGTCGGCGGCAGTTAGTACATGGCAGCAGTTACCTGCAGGTGAGACAGCGAGGAGGACGACATCTTCCTCTTCTTCTTATTCTCGCCTTCCATCTCTTCTTCCTCCTTCCGTCTTCTTCTTCTTCTTCTTCTTCTTCTTCTTCTTCTTCTTCTTCTTCTTCTTCTTTCAGAGAGAGAGAGAGAGAGGTTATAGGCAGAGGTTACATCGGTCCATGAAGACCAGGATCTGATTCGACATTTTTTGTGGCAGACATTGATTGGACATTCGGCAGGGAGACTATTTTGGGACTTCGCTATCGCGATCTTGGTCTTCTCCCTCACCTCCATCTTCGTCTCGCCTCTCCCCCATCTCCTCAATGCAGTCCCTCCCCTCTCTCTCTCTCTCTCTCTCTCTCTGTGTGGTGTATGACGGCGTGTCGCGTCAGTATCTGATGTGTCAGGACATATCTTTGAGTCTTTCGTTGCGCTACATTGTGCTATTTTCGTATGTATCTGGATGTACATTGCTTGTTGATGCTTTGCTGACGCTGCGTTGTTCATTCGAGTCCTTTTCATCACTTTGCGGATCCTTGGCTCCATAATACCATATGCATCGCTCTGTTGAGCATGTATCACACAGACAACCCCACAACACGACCCGCTTCATCTGGCCCGTTTATTAGTCGGCAATGACGAGACGCTGCGTTAACTTCGTCCTCTGTTTACCTGCCTTGTTACAATTTTCACCAAGCAGGATATGCTCATCGTCAGACTTGAACTGCTAACCTGTAGGACACCTACAGGTTCTAGGCAAACTACCAGCCAATCCACACACACAGCATGTGATGAAGGACAAGTTATCCAACATGGTATCCTACAGATTTAGCTCACCATGACTGAGCACAGATCTGTGCATGTCACCCCCTGCGCACAGTTCATCGAAATAAAGTTGAAGCATACAAACCCGTAATAATCCCCTGTATACATACCCTCCTGTCCCTCAGAGTCCAAATGCCTGTGTTCGTGTTTAAGTAGTGTCCCCACGGCTTCCGTTCGACGCCCCACGACCTCCTGTGGTGAGCTGCAGGTTCATCAGCTGAGATAGTCGGCGTGCCTCCACTGGGTGGTCTTTGTAGGGGCTATACCCTCTGCTTGGCTCCCCCTAGGCGGTCCTGGTAGGGGCTATACCCTCGGCTTGCCCCCCATGCATGCTCTTGCTAGGGGCTATACCCTCGGCTTGCTCCCCCCGGGGTGGTCTTGGTAGGGGCTATACCCTTGCCCCTTCCATCCCGTGCCCGGGGTTAAGCTCAACCCTAGTGCATCATATCATCTCTAGTGGACCCCCAAATGTTCTAATCAGATAGTGTGTACTTCCCCAAGTAGACGTAGGTAGGGAGAGTGAGGTATAATGGACAGAAGAATATACCTGAGTTTTTCTTTTCTGTTTTTTCGGAGTGTGCTGTGAAATGAAAAGCACGGAATCCAAAACAATTCCCATGTACCTTGTCCACTTTGAGAACTGAATGCACAGTGGCTGCCTGGTTCTGCAAGGAACTGAAAAACAGCCAGGCAATCCCCGATAACCTTCATCTTCACACACCTAGCCTACATGGCTATGACAGGAGCAAGGGAAGAGCGCGGGAAAGAGCAGGGGGCACACACAGAGACCTACAGACAGGAAGAGAGAGAGAGAGAGAGAGAGAGAGAGAGAGAGAGAGAGAGAGAGAGAGAGAGAGAGAGAGAGAGAGAGAGAGAGAGAGAGAGAGAGNGAGAGAGAGAGAGAGAGAGAGAGAGAGAGAGAGAGAGAGAGAGAGAGAGAGAGAGGTCCCGCAGCGATGATGTGGTTCAAGCATCTCTGTCCATTCTGGGCTTCACTGCAATATGGACACTACCGGCACCAAATATTTCACTGATGATGCTACCATCTTCCCCAGAATGGAACGTACGGTCTTTATCACTGTATGTGGACTGAAAGTTGGGCCAAATGCAGGCAAAATTAGCATAAGTGTTCCATTCGGGTGAAGAAGACCATAAGGCTCAATCAATGCGTCAAACACTAGGGACAACAATACACACAGCATGGACCGAAGTTGTGATGCTCCCTCAACAAGAAGGCTACCGTAGTCGTGTTGCCCTCACCTCCAGAATAGAATGAAACTCCTCCTTGGCGACACTTATCCGTTCCGTATCAATGGAGTCTACAACATAGATAATTGCTTGCGTGTTCGGGAAATAACATCTCCAATAAGGTCTGCATCATACAGAAATTTACAAACATACAAAACAGCACACAGCTTTTTAGGACAAAACCTACAAGAACTGCAAGAGACTTCCATTGGGAAAAAAAAAAAAAAAAAAAAAAAAAAGGTGAAGCAAGAGATACAGGGATTGACTGAGGGAGACGAATGACCAAGCCCGGCAAGAAAGCGCAATCATCTGAAGTTCAGTGTTCACCCTCCTCCTTATTGGTGCACCTATGACTCCTTTTTTCTCATTTGAAATCCTGGTTCAATCCTGGTTCAGACTCTGAACCAGGATTTCGAATGAGCTCAACCAGGATTTCAAATGAGAAAAGGAGTCATACATGCACCCATAACTGGCAATAAGCAGGAGGGTGAACTTCTGCTTCCCCTTCAGGAAGGAGGCTCAGGAACCTGAAAATTAACACCTAAAAAAAAAAAAAAAAAAAACTCGGGCCGTAATTGTGGTCAGATACATCCAAGAAAAAAACAGTGTGCGTATGCTGTAACTCTGCCACTGACGTGTCGAAAAAAAAAATGTTTCGAACAGTCAAACGTGATCGCCACACCACTCGCGGAATGTGAAAAAGACGAAACCTTTGGCGGGTGTATCTTTCTATGTTTTTGCAGAAGACGCATGCTCCATTTTACACATTCCGGTCACCACACCACTCACGGAATGTGAAAAAGACAAAACCTATGGCGGGTGCATCTTTCTATGTTTTTGCGGAAGATACATGCTCCATTTTGCACATTCCGGGAGCAGTGCAGCAAAGGCCCAAAGCCTCCTCATTGATGCATATATAGCCTGCAAACAGACTTGGTATCAGCGATCCAGACAGTCTGAATTTATGTACACAGTATCCTCAGATACATCCAGATTACAAAACTGAGAACTACAACCTGTGATGTGGCATCACTGCTGTGGCTATTTTGAATTTTCAAGTCAAATTCTCAATTTCTCACACAGCACGCCAAACCACCACTATCTCCAAGCCCCCTATTTTCGTGCGATTCTTCCCACCCCTAAACTTCTGAATCGCAGCACCACCAGCCCTTTCCGGTTCAACAGGCCCAACCTCTCCATGGGCACCAGGAAAAGAACTTCTGAATCGCGAGGTAACCTGGTGCCCATGGAGAGGTTGGGCCAGCTAAATAGGGTCTTCCCCCTATTTATGTGCGTAGAGCTCTCCATAGGGTCTTCCCCCTATTTATGTGCGTAGAGCTGCCTCACAAGGTAGCTGGCCACGGTACTGCTGGTTCAAAGTTCAAACCACTGCTGCCCCTCATATCAACCGAGAGTCCGAGACATGTAATGGTCATAGTAATACATGCTGGCCGCAGGAAGGGTCAACGTACCAGCCACAGAGTCCATGGCAGCAGAGCATGAAACCTTTTTTTAAGTTTTTTAAACTTGTTTTTTTCCTTTTTTCTGTTGCAATATTTTCCTCATCTCCGGCCGGCAGGAGTTCGAACTCAGGTCTGCATTTCAACAGTTGGCGTTCAGGGATGTACCGGCTGACGCATAGTGGCAGGGCATGGATTTTTTTATTATTATTATTTTTTGTTTTTTTTTTGGGGGGGGAAAGGAGGAGGAGGGGAGGGCATGGAACTTTTGGAGTGGTTGCGTTCGGCAATTTTTGTGCTCATGCAAAAAAACAGCAAATGAGAATGCAATGCAGAAATTTTGAAATGCAAGAGAGAGCTCATACCAGACCAATCATAAATAATAAGCCGAGTTTTGCAATGTCGAGTTGAAAGCAAAATACGAAAAAAGTTGAGGGCACGCCCATTCAAGAGAACTCATCGAACGCTGAAGTCTCTTGACGATGAAAGCCTTCTTCGCACCTCCAACATTCCAATAAAACAAACACAGAGTGGTAGTCCTAGCTGTGATGTATCCACCTCCACTACTCTCCTACTGTGCTTGCACACACTCTAGCCTACCACCTCTCACTCTCTCTCCACTCTTATCCACTCTCCCCTCACTAGTTGCCAATGAAGAGTCGAATCACATAATCACTCCACAACCAATACACCAGGTAAGTATTACCCACCAACCCCCACAGCTGCTCTCCTCCCTGACCAACCTGACCACTCTACACGCACTTCCTTGCACAGCGCTGCCTACACACAGTCAAAAAGTTTGCCTTAAACCACCACCACTACCTTTCGCAGATGTAGTCCCATTTGGGAAAATGGCATCATCCGAAAAAATCGCTGTTGGGAGGCAGCTGATATTTTTCATCGGCGACTGCCATAAATATCAGCTGCCGCCCAACGGCATGCTCAACGGGTGTGTCCCACTTGTTTCAGTGCCCACTGGCAGCGAGTGGGACACACCCCGCGACCGACATAATGAGTAAGGTAGTGGCGGTTTAACGATCGCCCACGTAGGTAGTTGCGGTTTAACGATTGCCCACGAGTGGGACACACCCTGCGGCGAATATATGAGTAAGATAGTAGCGGTTTAACGATCGCCCGCAAGTGGGACACACCCTGCGGCCAGCATATGAGTAAGGGAGTGGCGGTTTAACGATCGGGAATGGCTGATCCAAGTTGCAAGTGGCGGCCAAGCACTGCCATTCTTCCACTTGGAAGTTGGAAGCTTTGCTTTCAATTACCTTGTAGTTCATTCCCATCGGACGATCGTGTGCAGCTGTGCCACCATAACCTGATGCTGGTGTGTCAAACGATCTAACTGGGTCTCACAGCCACCAGCTGACTTAAGGTACAGCACAGAGATCTTGCAATCATCCGGGATTGCACTGATCTGGAATGCAACTGTGACAGTGTGCGGCTATGCGACCAGGTACGTCTTCTTGTTGACGCAGCCCCTAAAGCCATATAGTTGCGGCTATGCAACTGTGAAAGTGTGAAAGTGTGCTGCTATATGACCAGGCAAGTATTCTCGTTGCCAACCAACAGCGAGACAGAATCGATGTCGGGGGTGTTCGTGTAATGCTCGCAGCCCCTAAAACCAAATTAAATTGCTGCTGCTGCTGCAACGACGTGGCCTGCGGATGCAGCAGACTGCAATGCTGCAACAATGGCCGCTGTAACGAACCTCGTATGGCGGGTGCTCTCTTTTCTCTTCTTTCCAGGAAAAAAAAGAGGCCGACGGCCTTGAGATATCATCAGCGAACTGACCCTCCCTATGTAATTAAGAATTGTAATATTTAATTATTTTTACTCATCTGCTTCCGGTGGGAGTTTGAGCTCAGGTCTGTATTTCAACAGTTGAGGGGTGCAGCAACTGAGGTAGGCCATCTGGGGCAGGTAAGGCCGTATCTGGGGCAGATGCCTTACACAGTACTGTGTAATCCCTCCTCCTCTAACCTCAACGTCCCCTTTTCCAACCCCACATGATCCTTCTCTATACCCGTGATGGAGCTTCGGCGGGCGCTCCGTTACGGCTGCCGACCATTGTAAGTGAGCCTCAGTGGACGCGGTAGGGTTGCGCTTGGTGCCTTGCATCATTCTGAGCGGATGGCAGGCATACACTAGGGAGGCCACTCAGCACTTGAGGGCTGATGTCCCACTGCTGACTTGGAGGTATGGCAGACTGATGTGGCGCTGCCACATGGCACCCGATGTCCAACTGCCGAGATGGCACCTGACTGCTCATGTATCATGGCTGACATGATGACCAACTGCGGAGTCGCTGTGCGGACCTGTCACTGCTGATATGGCGACCCAACTGATGACATGGCGCACCCTAGTGCTGACATGGCATTGCTGTGTTTGCTGATTAGCCGACACATCTGGTCATGCACCACTGCAATCACCACACGTGGCTACAGAGGGAGGTAGAGATTGAAGAAGGGAGGAGATGGCGGTGCTGAGGATGATGATGAGGACAAGTATTGAACAACGACGGCGCGCCATGGGAAGAAGCGACTAGGGGGAGCTACGGTTTGCCGGTGGAAAGGATCAGAAGCGGCTATTGGGAGGAGGAGACCTCGAGCTCGGAGGCGGATCAATCGGAATCACGTCATACAGACGAGCAGGCTAGGGAGGAGGAGGATTCCGAGGAGGAAAAAGGGAGGGGGGAGGGGGGAGGGGGGAGGGGGGGGGCGAAGCTAGACGGCAATCGAAGCAGCAAGAAGACAGTACAGCGGCGGAAAATGAACGCGAATTTAGGCAAGAAGGGGGACAGCAACAATAGCAACAGGAAACGCCCCCGGTGGTCTCAGAGGGCGAATCAGGGGAGTCAGCACGAGCCGCTGAGGAAAGAAATGGAGGACTGCAAAGGGACCCGCTGACTGAGCTGGCACGACAAGAGAGGGTGGAGACTGGACTGGCAACCATCTTACGAGAGGGGGAGTATTACTTATGCCCCATCACGTTGTGGAGATCGCCGCAAGGGGTCAAGATGTTCATCTATGGATTAGCAGAAGTACCCATGCTCAGCGTTAACAAGCTCCCTCAGGAACAGCGGGTCCTCAAGCATGTGCAACAGTGAGTGGGTCCGGCCACTACCTGGCATGTCAGCTCAAAGATTCATTCGACGAACAGCTGGAATACGCATTTCCACCCTCTCAATCACTGCGGCTAAAATCTCTAGAAAGCTTGCGTCCATAAGGAAGCAAAGGAGAGAATCTCTAGAATTTGCTTTAAAACTGGCTGAAACCAACTTGATAAATAACCCCTCCTCGCCACTGTATAACGACATCTTTGAGAAGGCACGGGAGGAACTGGCTATTTGGAGGTGGTGGGATTTAAAAGGCCTACAAATAAGAGCCAGAATGTGCAAATATGAGCTCAGTGATTCAATGACAAAACACTTCTTTGCCCGAATTAAGGCCAATTCAAGAGCTAACACAATAGGTGGTCTGAGACCTACAGTGGCCTTGGAGACGGTGACATCAGACAGCGAAGGGATGTTAGAGATAGCCAAAAACTTCTACAAGGACCTCTATCACTCAAAGACTCCCACACCGATACCCCCCAGCACAAGGGAGGCAAGACAGAGAATGCTTCACTACCTGCAACAAACAATAACAGCCGA